TTTTAAAGATTATTAAGTTTAAACATTATAATATTATAATTATAAGTACCTATAACAGTATATTTTATAATACTGTTCTTMAATTGCTTATCATCAATATTATAAAACATAAACATTCACCTCTTAGATAAGGATGGCGGCCATTTTACTGGCGACAATAATAATATCGAAGTTGGCTATCTAGTATTTTTATATATCTGTGCTTATCACTTTTTTAAGTGATTTTGTAATCAATAACCACATAACCACGGTTAACAAACGAACCATTGAACTTAATGGAATTATTTGTGCAACCGAACACTACTTAGTGGATTCAATAAAGATGTTTATCAGCTTGTTTATCAAACCGATATCACATCTTATTGAACTGTTTTTATCGACCGTTTATGCAACCCGGCATTAATGCAGCTCGCTGCCAACAAATCCAGTTCGGATCAGACCTCGTGGTCGCCTCGTTTGTTCAACATCTGCAGTTCAGCATGTTGTCACGGTCGTTATCGCAAAGACCGCCGCGTCTTTCTCGACGTCCGCGAGATCGCGACTGACAACCGGTCTGGTCGCCGCCAACTGTACGACTAATTTAGCTTTTGCCTGACCGTCGTCAACGCCGCACACGTTTGTATAACTTAAAGTTAAAATAAAGTGTGTTGTCGTTACCAACGTGTCGTTATTTTTACCCCATTCCGACCAACAACTAAAACGTCAAGTTATGAACCTCCCCTTTTTCTATTGTATTGGGCAGTTCTCCAAATTATACGAGTATATTATTCTCATGGTTCAGATATTTTTCTTTATATTAATTTAATAATATTTTTATTGTATTATTCTCACTGCTGGCTGACCATCTTCAGTGAGATATTGTGTTATTATATTGATATACATGATATAATAATTTAATGTGGTAAAAATATATATTCAACACCGTATTTATATAGATAACAAGGTCTTATATTCACTATCCTTAGTTAGTGATCCAATTTAGGTGAAAGTCACAGGCACCGACCTCAGTGCAGGAGCGGTCGCGGTGAAACAGGTACCTAGAAATTCTGCCAAATAGACGTCCGAATTAGGCCTTCATGCCTAATYCATAGCGCCATACGAAAAAAATAACAATCCAAAAATTTCAGAAAAACAAAATACACCATATCAAAAATAAAGAATTTAGTTTTTTTTTACCATAAATGAATTTTTCTATTCATGAATTAAATATATTATGATAGTATTTATA